AAAAATATATATTTTTCTTTTTTTTTAATCACACATTTTTTAATAGAATAATATTATATATAAATTTAAATTTTTTTTGGTATTTTTTAATTACAAAATTTTCAAAAAATCACTATTACGAGAGTTTTTTTTTTTTTCCCCCAAGAACAATGTTATATACTTATATTAGACTTTTAAAAGAGTTCACGCGGAAGAAGGCGTGGCTGTTGGTGAGCCACCCCTCATCTACCAGCTGGCAGCTGGCTATCAAACCTCGCAACCTCAAACCACGTGATTCACCCCAATTATAAAATAATTAATCTACACTATTTTCAGATTAAATAAATAATTTCTGCACTTCAATTCTCTTTATTAATAAGTTAATATCATCAATGTCCTATAAAGTTCAATAATATATTCAAATTGGCCCTTAAACTATTTTTTACTCATTTTGATCACTAAAATTAACATATATTAACAAATAACTCATTATTTCGTTAGCACGATCAACACCAAAATGCAACATTTATCCGTTAAAGTGATTGACTCTTTCCAACTGATCTCCCATTTTAGACATTTTTATTATTTATTAATAATGAAAAATAGGATTAGGATTAAAGGGAGAGATCAGTGATTTTGATGACAAAACGTTATGCTTTTCCTCCTAAAATTCGCCTTTTATTTTAGAGATTTATAATGTCACGATTGCTAGTCTATGTCAAAGTTTAGCGGGCCAAAGTTGGATCTAAAGTTGGACCAAATTGAAATTTCATTTAAACATTAATGACCTTTTGTGAAATTATCTGGAATCTTTAATATCATTGTACGCAACCCATAATATGATGTACCTTTTATGCGAATTTCGAGTCCAATCAACTCATCAACAGACATTGTATTTGTGCATAAACGATTGTACATTGAGTCAAAATATTGTTCCACAAACCCAAAATAAGAGACTATTAAGCCCGAAAATATTAATTGCAGTCAAATAAAACCCCCGCCTCTCTTTACAGTGTATATATATATGTGCGTGTATGTATAGTCACACAATCACTATTTGTTCGTTTGCATCTACGCACACTCTCTCTTTCTAATTCGAATAATACTCTATTTTGATTTCAAATCTTCGATTTAGACGGCGAAATTTGGTAGCGGAAACTCCGAGGATTCGAATGTGACTTGTGTTTCTCTTTGTTAAGATCTGTTGCTGGTGAGCTACTCGATCACGCCTAATCTTTGTGTAGTTTATTGATTTTATATGTTTATTTTATTTGAATTCTTTATTTTATATATGTATATTTTAGAATTTAGATGATTTTTAGTGATCGGAGCTGAAATGAATGAAGATAAGTGATTGAATTGTTGAGTTGTGGTAGGTGTAATTGAATGCTGGAAGATTGGATTCGAGAAATTTCGTGTTGTATTTTTTATTTTTAGGTGTTGCATGACCTGGACTGTGGACATTGAATTGTAGTTGTGTTTTTTCAGTGAGTGATATTGCATTTGTTTAATATGATGGTTGCCCGTGGAATTTGACAACTAGTGATAGAATTTTGTCTGTAAATGTATGTGGCTAATGAATAAACAATTTTAATTGCGTTTGTGTTTAGTGAATAATCCAATGAGATTGAACACTGTGGTAAACTGAAATTCTTTGAGAGGCGAACAGTAAGATTTTTGGCCTGGAAATTCAGTGTTGCTGTTTGTATTGATCATTCTAGTATTGATCATGCCTCATGACCTGGAGTATGCGAGTCATTTACGTGCCACAGTTTTGGAGGACTTATTGCTGAGATCTTGTAGCTTTGATGAACCAAAATTTGGAGAAGGCGGACTGTTGGATTGCTTTAGTTGAAAGGCCATCTTGAAATCCGAATGTGATATCTATAATGTCATATACCATCACGCTCTTGGCTGTACAGGGCATGCTGAAGCTTCACATTATTGGTGCTGGTGATAGAGTAAGTACCATGGTAGTGGTCACCGATGAGTCTTAGGGAGTCATCTGTTTCCTAAAGATTTTCTGACATGGATAATGTGGATCACTGAATAGAAAATTTCAACACTAGTACCTGGTAACACTCAGATGATGACCAGATACTGCTTTGTTGGGACAACCATAGTCGCATTGTTTAATGTTTTCCTTTCCTCGGGAATCTACGTTCTATATCAACAAACACCAATTTGGACGAATTTTAGGTTGCTGGATGTCTAGTGGTTGAAGATCCACAGACCATGAAGCTTGGACAGTAGCAACATTGAACCATGGATCGTACTGAGGGGATTCAAACAAAAATCATCTGAGGGTTATGCAATCCTCTGAGGATTATTGGACGCTTGATTGTTTCTTGTTGCGTTTTAAAGCACATTTTTCTTCCCACATTCCTCTTAAGAATCATGATTAAGACAAATTGGTGGCATCAGGAATGACAATGCTTTTGCTATCTGCAATAGTGTCTTCCCTTCTGAACCTTTTCTTTTTTGAGATAACAATCTGGAACTCCAGAATTTGTGTTGACAGTACTTTCATGCTAAGCTCAAATTCTATCTCCTCTCTTCTTCTTCCAACATTCTGGTTGAAGTTTAGAGGAGAAGCTTGTTATGGATGTGGTTCTATATTCATTCTCACTTCATTTCTCGGGTTTATATTATTCCTCTTAATCCTAAATTTTTAGGGTGTCGTAGAAAATTATTTTTTGTAAGGTTTTTAATATTTTTAGGATTGAACAGCCTGCCTTTTCCTTTTAGCTTATTAAAGGTTTTATAAATGCTTAACATTTACTAATTAAATGTGATAGTTTTGTTTGGCAATGTCTCAATATCTGTGTAATCGGGTAAGTTTATGCAAACAAAGATTAAGGCTTTTAAGGTGGGAGAACTTTGAATATAACTCTCCTTTACCTAGTAATTACTTTGCTTTTGGATACTAAAGGTTTACAAAGGTATTTGATATCCTCTGGAACTTTTGTAAGCTTGTCATTAAAATTGGATGATTGGAAGTATGCATTATTGCTGATTTTACTTGATCCTTCTAAAGGACATGCAATTGGATTTATGTTTTTAGGAAAAACTCGTGCTGTTATTATTTTGTTCAAAACTTGCAATGTAAAAATGGGTATTTATTATGAGATTTTGTTATGTAGGAAACCAATTGAGGGTTTCTGCAATGGAGGAATTTTTAAAAACTTATGGAAAACTTTACTTTTTAGCCAATTATTAAAATAATGCAGCTCCTAAAGGTACATAAAACCAGATTTGTTTTCAAATAATATAGGCTCCATCAAGATCCCTTTTTGGCTGTAAAATATCTTCGAAAAATCCTGCATTGTTTAAAAAATTTTCATTTGATCTTGCTTAAAGCTTTTTATTGCCTGCATCACTGGTGGCCTATGCTGACTGCTCAGAACTATAGGAGAAAGTACAGAGTTTCGATATATTTGGTAGAGCACAAAGCTAGTGTTTATATGGACCAAGTATCAACTCTGCATTGTTAATATACCAAGTTCTTTACACTGGATGAAGTTTATGGGTTTCCATTTGTATCATTTACAATGAAAACTTTGTCTCTGCTTTCGGAAGTTCAGTTGCAATTCCCTGTCTATTTTTCACCCTTTCGAGGTTTTTATTTGTCCATCTTTTGTTTCTTTCTTTATCTTCTTTCTTGTTTTGTTATTTTTTGTTTCCTTTTATCCTTTTTTGTATGTGTGTCTGCTTATGAAGGGTTTTTTATTGCTACATCTCTTTTGTTTTCATCATATACTGTGTAGCTTTAGCGTGAATTCTGTGTCAGCTATTTGGACATTTTATTGCTGTACTTTAAAACCTATCCTTTAACTTTCTTTCTGCTTTTTGACATGCCTCTTAACAATATTAATCCTTTTGAATTAAGAATATACCTATTGACTGTGAGCTGTAACTCTTTATCCACTTTTCAGGTTGTATGACCTCCAGCTTATGGGAGTCAGAAGGAAAGAAGTTCATATATCAATGAGTTTGCGTGTTTAAGAAAATGTATCTAATAAATCCTTTTATGGGGTAAGAAGTTTTAACGAGATGGTATTGCATCTCAAGATCTATGGACATGGAGGATACGCGAGATGATGCTCCATCAGAGCACAGGCCTCGTAGTGCTAAATGGAGGTCTTTAGATTTTGTCGAAAAATTTGGATCCGTTTCCTTGGATTCTAAAGGAGAAATTCTGAGAAATAAAGAATCTACCTACAACGTGAAAGGTGATAGATTGTCATGTAAGATGGCATCACAGATCCTTTGGAGCACCGGAATGCTTTCTGAACCAATTCCAAACGGTTTCTACTATGTTGTTCCCGTGAGAACTAAAACTAATATCTCTAGGTTACTAGCATGTTATATATAATATATCAGCTTTCATGATTTATGTCTTTTGATTTTCTTGAGAATCTGAACTAGTTGTAACCATCTGTTTGCTCCGGCATCTTAAAATGCTAATTCTTGCCACAAGAGAAAGTTCAGAGTAATATGTACATGATGCTTCTTTGCTTAGTGTTCACTCCTAATATGCGTAACTTTGTTTTTTGACAGTTTGTAGATAGTTATTGACTAAATAACTTCTGCTAAAGATAATCCATTGTGCTAAAATCTATTCTTCTATGCTGGTTAAAGTGACAGTAATTAAACACAACCTCAAACCTGTTGAAGATTTGAAAATGGTCTTTTTTTGGGGTAGGATTTGCAAACTTTATTTGAAGTAACAACTGAATGGAAATATCCCATACTATAACATAGAATTGTATTTCCATTTAAGATGTACTGCACAGTTGCATTGTATGAGTCTTCTCTAACAATTACTGAATCATTGTTTCCCTTGGATAATTAAAAGTAGTAATAAATTGCTAACAACTTTTTTTTCCTTTCTCACTGCTGTTTTCCTTATTAGTTTTTCCCCGTTAGAGGAAGAAGAAAAATAATCTTTTTCCCTATTTCTATCAACAGANNNCTTTTTCCCTATTTCTATCAACAGAGAATGTAGACATGATCAAAAGCAGCAACCTTGTTGCTTTGTTAAAAAGTTGGGAACCTCTAGGCCATGGATGGCTTATTTTTTCACTTATTCCATTTTGTCATTTTATTATGGGTAAGAAATATGGTCCTCAAAGATAAAGTTGCCAGTTCGAGAAAGACACCATTCTCAGTTCTTGAGTAGATATCTCCATTCATTTCCTACTCACAGAGATCATTCCGTTGTTACATTGTATCTGTCATCTTGAAAACCTTTTTCATGTCATACTAAGTACTGCACAGTTGCACAGTAGGGGTCTTCTCTAACAATTATTGAATCATTGTTTCCCTTGGGTAATTAAAAGTAGTAATAAATTGCTAGCAACTTTTTTTC